CCGGAAGTGGCGCTGTGGCTCAAGTGGTAGAGCACTAGCCTTGAGCTGAAGAGCTGAGGGACAGTGCCCAGGCCCAGAGTTCAGGCCCCACGACCGGACCAAAAAAAAAAAAATTTTCCAGATTAAAACACCAAATTTCTCAGATGAATTTTTATCTTTATGATGCTTTATTTTGACAAAGGGTGATCAAATGTAGCAATGGTTTTCAGTAGGTACGATGTTAGAAAGTAAGTATACAATGTGTGGGTGAGGATGGTTGGGAAAAACTGGAGACAGTTGAAGGAAGGAGTGACATTATCCAAATAGAAATGCAGTCATTACTTGACTTATTAACTTGTAACCCCTCTCTACATCACCTTTATATATCATATATCATATATATATATATGTATATCATGCATATATATAAAACCCATCTCTACATCACATATTGAACCTAGAACGTTGTACTTGCTAGGCAAGCACTTTGCCACTGAGCCACATCTCAGCCCCACCTATATATAATAACAATAAAAATATTTAAAAAATTTAAAGAAATGTTTCATTTTGATAGAAAACCTTTCTTAACCTGAAGTGGACTATGGCTTGCCTTAAGTGAAAAAGCTCAGGGACAGTGCCCAGGCTCTGAGTTCAAGCCTCAGGATCAAAAAAATTGTTTTAATAAAAAAGAAAGAAATGTTTACAAGCCAGGTGCCAATTGCTCACACCTATAATCCTAGCTACTCAGGAGGCTGAGATCTAAGGATTGAGGGTCAAAGCTACCCCAGGCAGGAAAATCCGTGAACCTCTTATCTCCAGTTAACCAGCAAAAAAAAAGCCAAGTGGGAGTGCAAAGCCCTGACTGAGTTCAAACCCCCAGAACCCACACAAAACCAAACAAAACTAAAACAAGAAAGAAAGGGCCTCACACTTGGTTTTCTTGCCATAGTTGCCACTGTACTGCTTGAACCATACCTCCAGTCCAGCAGTTTTACTGGTTAAAAAGAAACCCAACATGATTTCACATTCAGTGTAATTCATTCTCTGTGTCTCTGGATTCCCATTGACATTGTCTGGTGTGATGATTGCATAGATACAGGGTAGAGATTGATGGGAAAATAGAACTCAACAGTTACTGATTTTGCTGCTGGAAAATTGTGAATGTATACATAAATATACACTCATGAAAAGTGTAAGATACATGTCTTGTGCTATGATCCTTTACCCGTGAACATATCAATATTATCAGAATATTGTCAACTTCCCAAGTGTGTGTGATGTGAAAATTTGATCTAATTTATATTCAATTTTGTCAATTGATCATACAATATTTTATATAAGATTGTCTTTTCCTCTCTAGTATAGACCCTAACTTCAGACATTGCATTTACTTATCTCATTTCTTTAGCTTTCTTAAATCTGAAAGGTTCTTTTCTGTGATGTCACCATCTTTTGGCTTGCATTAGTCACTGGGGTATCAGGGAGAACTTGGATCAGAAGGCAGTCTGGTAAAGTTCCACTTTCTTTATCAGGGAGAGTAGTATTTTTCCTCAAGGGTTATTAAATTGTTGACTTTTTGTGGCTGCTGAGCTGTATTTAACTTCCTTTTTCCTTTGACACAGTCTCTTTCTATCGCTGGCTTATTGAACTTGGATTTTCCTTACTTTTTGCTACTTTAGTCTGAATCTCATGAGTTCTGTCATAATTCGGGTATACTCCTTCTGCAGTATAATGGTTATTACAGTACTTTGTGTTTTAATGGATTTGTAGCTTATGAACTGCTTTTTCCCTCAGCATAGTGATTTAATTTTCTTTTCCCCAGATTTTTTCATTCTAGAGTATTTCTGGAAGAGACTGAGTTTCTAGAAGACTCACATTCAGATGGCCATAACTTTAAATGTATTTTCTGTACCTTCTTTAACTGTAGAAACATATTTAGGAGTGGCAGCATGCCTGTTTTCTTTGAGATAAGTCTGTCAGGAGTCTATCCCTTCCATTTCTTCTCAAACTCAAACTTGCCTTATAGTCAGGCTATCAAAATGTTGCAATTTTCTTTTTCCACTTGACTGCTTTACAATTTTTTAAAGTTTTAAAAAAACTTATAAGGCCACATTTTCAAAGTATCATATTAATACTAAACAAAGTATTATGTTTAGAGAAAGAGACTTTGTAAGTTATTTTCTTATTTTGGATGTATTATATGTTCTATTCATTTTTAGTAAAAATATATTATGTATATCTTAAAGATGAATTTACATATTAATAATTACATACTGGAGACTAATACCACTTAAAAATTAAACATTTTGTACCTTGGTTATACAAATAATAGCTAACTTTCAAAATATAAAATAATAATACTATATTTTTCCATTTAAACTTTTATCTTTTTTTCTTTTGGTCAGTCGTGGGGCCTGAACTCTGGGCCTGGGCACTGTCCCTCAGCTCTTCAGCGCAAGGCTAGCACTCTACCACTTGAGTGTCAGCCCCACTTCCGGCTTTTTCTGCTTATGTGGTGCTGAGGAATCAAACCCAGGGTCTCATGCATGCAAGGCAAGCACTCTACCACTGAGCCACCTTCCCAGCCCCTATTTAAACTTTTAGTTAACATATATAAAGTCAAATATATGTATGGAAAACTGAAACACAGTAAAATAAACTTGCTTTAAAGTTGAATATTAAGTTGTTTGGTAGTAAGATAAATAAAAAATTTCAAATATGCGTTTCACTTAAAAATTAACATGTGGTTATATTCTCTCTTTTTAATCATCCCTGAAGGTAATGATGAATTTGTATCTGTGTCAAGCTAGTTATTGAGGATGCTATAAATTAGTATGGGGACTAAGTGAATTAACCATTGTTCTTTTATGAGTGGGTGTGTCAGCGCTGTTCTGTGAGATTCTGGACCAAATTGATTCTAGATGCATATCCTTTTATTTTTTGGTATACATCCTTTTTTAGTTAAAGTAATTGTATATTAACTATATAGAAGGGGATTTCATTGTTACATTTCTATACTTGTTTATACTGTATGCCAATTAGTTTCATCCCTTTTATTACAATTCTTGCTCCCTTCCTAAAAAATAATATCCCCAAACAGTTTTCTTTGTTCTCTTTTTATAGTTCCAAATAATAAGTATTCTTAAGCTTATTTCTATTTAGGAGCAACATGAAGACATGAAGATTGATAGAGCATACTAAGCATTGATCTTGACACAGGCTTTGTGTCTCAAAGAGACCAAATAAACCATAATGAGTAATGAGCTAGGTGCTGTTGGCTCATGCCTATAATCCTATCTACTCAGGAGGCTGAGATCTAAGGATCACATTTCAAAGCCAGCCTGGGCAGAAAAGTCTAATAGACTATTATCTCCAATTAACCACCAAAAACCCAGCACTGTGGCTCAAAGTGGTAGACTGCTAGCCTTGAGCAAAAGAGCTGGGACAAGGCCCAGGCCCTGAGTTCAAGCTCCATGACTAACAAAACAAAAACAAAAAAAATTTCATAATGAAAGTAAAATCAAAGCCAACAATATTAGGAGTCCAAAAAATAATAAACAAAAAGTTGGATGTTTGATACAATTAATACAACCTGTGTTTAGTGATTATTCTGTAATCAGATGTAATTATTATTTTGGAACATTTAAAATAAAAATATATCCTATAATATTTGTATTTTTTAAAACTAATGGTGTGCTATTTTTATTATTTCAGAATGATGATATTGAAACAGATATTAACAAATTAAAACCCCAGCAAGTACCAGGACGAACAATAGAAGAACTAAAAATGTATGACCATCTTTTCCCTGAACTTATTGATGATTTTCAGGTATAAATATAGAAAGTTTTAAATTTTTTTATGTATGGATTTTACTGAAAAGTTCGTTAGTTTTTCAGTAGAACAATAATCACTTTCTTATTAATAAAATGATACTACTGTTGCCTTTCTTAGTAACATTGGATAATTTTATCAATATTCTGAGCTGCAAATTGCTAATTTGTAAATTGAGGGAAGATGGAAGTAGCTTCTAAAAGTTCGTTGTCACATTGGTTCATTACTTTGACCTGATGGAATTTTTTTATTCTGTCTTAATATTCTTTAAAATGATGCTATAAAGTGTTGATACTGTCTTTCTTTTATCAGTTGTGTTTGGATTAAAAAGTATGTGCGGTTAACCCTCCCTTGCTCTAGTTTGCTAAATATCAATAGGAAAAAATGGGAGGATGATAGTTTGAAGTCTTTCAAGTCTAAGTTGATTCATCAGAAGGATGACTTCTTATTAACATTTCTTATTTTCATTTATTTATTGAGTTGTAATTAGTCAGCTGGAATTACATAGCAAACAATAGACTGAATTTTTGGCAATTTTATTTGATTTCTCATTCTTTGTTGCTTAGTTGTGGTCGATCCTTTGGTAATTGGAACTGCTCTGTATCTTAAAGTGTATGCTTAAACTAGGTAATTTCAAAGAATTGATTAGAGTTGTGTTGTACACTTTCTTGTTCACCAAATTTTATTCCACTTGCTTAAAGAAAAGGACCTTAATGTGAAGTTATGCAGAAATACAGAAACCCTGTCTGGACAGGGTTTACATTTTATTGCTATAAAACTGTAATTTTTCACATCTCTCAATGGGAATGAACCTTGGATTCAGGAGAAGATCAAGTGTCCTTTACCCCCTGTCCCCTGTGTGTTGGTACTCCACATAGATTTGAAGTTTGTTGAGAGGTACTTTGAAACTAGGAATCATAGGGGAGTGATAGTTGTCAAAAACAAAAACGGAAAGAATGAAGGAAGGAAGGGAGAAAGGAAGAAAAAGATAGGAAGGAAGGATAAACAGAAAGGACAGAAAGAGGTGTTTGAGAAAGCATATGAAGTGATTTTCCTGTATTCAACCTGTTGTACATGGACTCGGAACCCCTGAAAGACCACCAGAGACTACGACCAGTGCAAACAGCAAAAGAGTTGTTTATTTGCAAGCTGGAACTTGGTCCTCCACACACTTGGTAACCGGTGACGTCACGCTAAGAGGCCTCAAGCACAAAATCAGCACAGCTTTTTTTTTTTAAATTTTTTATTGTAAAGATACTATACAGAGGGTTGCAGTTACATGAGTAAGGTAATCAGTACACTTCCTATTGAGCATTGGTACCCCCTCCATTGTTTTCCCCCTACCATGCCTTCCCTACCTACCTTCCCCCAGGTTCTCTTTTTTTTTTTAATTGTGATTAAGTGATTGCATAATTTCCCAAATTTCACAGTATTGTGGAATGATGATGCTCATTTAAAGTCACAAGTTCATTCTAATTTTCCTGGAGCAAATTGTCTATCACAGTCTATAACATATAATGGTGTACACATATACACCATACATGTGATCAGCAGCATGGGTATATTTAGTAGTGGTTCGACCAGATGAGTGGGAGTTCTTTGTTTCTTAAGTCCTGTTAGTTTTGTCGTATCACCTAACATTTTGGATTTAGCATCCACTTATCAGGGAGACCATGTACCATTTGTCTCTTTGCTCTTGAGGCTTACCTCTCTCAACATGATTTCTTCTAGCTCCATCCATTTCCCTGCAAATGCCATTATTTTGTCATTTCCAATGGTTGCATAATATTCCATTGTGTATAGATACCACATCTATACACCACATCATCTGTGGGAGCATCTGGGTTGTTTCCATATCCTAGCTATTGTGAACAGTGCTGCAATAAACATGGAGGTGCACGTGTCCTTGTATATTGGTTCCTGTTGTTCAGGGTAGATGCCTAGAAGTGGTATGACTGGGTCATAAGGGAGGTCAATCTTTAGCTTTCTGAGGACCCTCCAGACTGCTTTCCAAAGTGGTTGTATAAGTGTACATTCCCACCAGCAGTGTAATAGGGTTCCTCTTTCTCCATACCCCCTCCAGCATTTGTCGTTGGCTGATTTGTGGATGTGGGCCATTCTGACTGGGGTAAGGTGGTATCTCAGGGCTGTCTTTATTTGCATTTCCTTCACCACCAGGGATGATGAACATTTCCTCATGTGTTTCTTTGCCATTTTTATTTCTTCATTTGAGAAGTCCCTCTTTAGTTCCCTTGCCCATTTAGTAATTGGTTTGTTAGGTTTGGGAGGGATTAGTTTCTTGAGTTCCCTGTATTTACAGGATGTTAACCCCTTGTCTGATATATTGCTGGTAAATATTTTTTCCCAATGTTGTGATAGATTTATCTGTGCAGAAGCTTTTTATTTTAAGGTAGTCCCATTTGTCGAGTCTCTCTCTAATTTGTTGTGACCCTGGGACTCTGTTCAGGAAGTTCCTTCCTGTGCCTATTAGTTCAAGTGTCTCTCCTACTCTGTCCGGCAGTAGTTTCAGAGATTCAGGTTTAATGTTAAGGTCTTTAATCCATTTTGAGTTGATGTTGGTGCATGGTGATAGGCTGGGGTCCACTTTTAGTTTTCTGCCTGTGGTCGCCCAGTTTTCCCAGCACCAGCGGTTGAAGAGGCTGTGTTTCTTCCATTGTATGTCTTTGGCTCCTTTGTCAAATATCAGCTGGCTGTAGGCCTGTGGATTTATTTCTGGATCTTCTATTCTGTTCCATTGGTCTTTGGGTCGGTTTTTGTGCCAGTACCATGCTGTCTTTGTTATTATAACTCTGTAGTAGAGTTTGAAGTTTGGCATGGATATCCCTCCCATGTTGTCTTTATTCCCTAGAATTGTTTTGGCTATTCTAGGTCTTTTGTTGTTGCATAGGAATTTTTGGTCTGTTTTCTGTATTTCAGTGATGTACGTCATTGGGATTTTAATAGGAATTGCATTGAATATGTATATTAATTTTGGAAGTATTACCATCTTTACTATATTGTCGGCCTATCCAGGAGCATGGGAGGTCTTTCCATTTCCTAGTGTCTTCTGCAATTTCTTTCTTTAACTTTTTATAGTTTTCATTAAATAATTCTTTTACATCTTTGGTTAGGTTAATTCCTAAGTATTTTATTTTTTGGGATGTTATTGTGAATGGGGTTGCTCCCTTTATTTCCCTCTCTTCTTGTACATTGTCAGTGTACAGGAAGGCAACTGATTTTTGTGGGTTTATTTTGTATCCTGCTACTTTGCCAAAGTGATTTATGATGTCTAAGAGTTTGGGGATGGCGTTTTTGGGATGGTGAATGTATAGTATCATGTCGTCTGCAAAAAGGGATAGTTTAACTTCTTCTTTCCCTATGCGGATCCCTTTAATGTCTTTTTCTTGCCTTATTGCCCTGGCTAAGGGTTCCAGGACTATATTGAAGAGAAGTGGAGACAGTGGGCATCCTTGCCTTGTTCCTGATTTTAGGAGGATTGGTTGTAGCTTTTCCCCATTAAGTATAATATTGGCTATTGGTCTGTCATAAATGGCTTTTATTGTTTTTAGAAATGTTCCTTCTATTCCTATTTTCTCCAGAGCTTTAACATGAATGAATGTTGAATTTTATCAAAGGCCTTTTCTGCATCTGTGGCGATAATCATGTGATTCTTGACCTTGGCTTTGTTGATGTGTTGGATTACATTTACTGACTTACGTATGTTAAACCATCCCTGCATCTCTGGGATGAAGCCTACCTGGTCATAGTGTATGATTTTTTTTTATGTGTGTCTGGATTATGTTAGCTAGAATCTTGTTAAGGATCTTTGCATCTGTGTTCATCAAGGAAATTGGCCTGTAATTCTCCTTTTTGGTTGGGTCTTTGCCTGGTTTGGGGATGAGTGTGATGTTGGCTTTGTAGCATGAGTTTGGGATAGTTCCCTTTTTCTCTGTTTCTCTGAAGAGCTTGAGGAGTATGGGTATTAGTTCTTGTTTAAAGGTCTTATAGAATTCTGCTGTGAATCCATCTGGTCCTGGGCTTTTTTTTGTTGGAAGACTTTTGATAGCTATCAGCACAGCTTTTATAATATTGAACAAACAAGTTTAGGGAATTTCCATACAAGCAGATACATAATTGGTTTGAGTCCACCCTAACCCCACTACCCTTTTTCTGAACTATTGGTATGTTTGGCTCTTGGAACACTTGGGCAACTGTTCTGCTCTCTTAAGGGTGGGCAGGGTTGGTGGCAATCTGTTTCTGTTTTGTTTTGTTTTCTCTCTTGGGGTTACTCTGAGGGCAGCCTAGCTCAAGATGGTGGGGTTAACCTTAAAGTGGAGTTACTTTAGCTCTTCAATCCTATAGAAATTTTTTGTGTGCGTGTGTGTGTGTGTGTGTGTGTTGTTCATGAGGCCTGAACTCTGGGCCTGGGAGCTGCTGTCCTTCAGCTCTTCAGCTCAAGGCTAGTGAACTACCACTTGAGCCACAGTGCCATATCATGCTTTTTCTGCTTATGTGGTACTGAGGATTGAACCCAGGGACTCATGCATGCAAGGCAAGCACTTTCCCACTGAGCCACCTTCCCAGCCATAAACCTATAGAAATTATATGGCTGTTCTTTTTTCCTTTGTTAGTGAGATTGGAATTCAGCACTTTGCATTTGCTAGGTAGATACTCTACCCCTTGAACCACACCCCTAGCTTTTTTCACTTTAGTTACTTTTTTTGGGGGGGGGGGTCTGGTCATGGGGCCTGAACTATGGGCCTGTGCGCTGTCCCTCAGCTCTTCGGCTCAAGGCTAGCACTCTACCAATTGAGCCACAGAACCACTTCTGGCTCTTTTCTTTTTGCTTATGTGGTGCTGAGGAATCGAACCCAGGGCCTCATGCATGCAAGGCAAGCGCTCTACCACTGAGCCACCTTCCCAGCCCATCACTTTAGTTACTTTTTGAGATAAAGTTTCACATTTATGCTCAGGCTAGCCTGAATTTGAATCCTTCT